ATTATTATTATTATTATTATTATTATTATTATTATTATTATTATTATTTATAGTTGGTCGCACAGATGTTTAGACTGGATCTAGCATTTTTACCCAGCTATCAAGTCTTTCCCAAGGACTTGGGATAGGCAGATTTTTTACTATTATTATTATTATTATTATTATTAACAGCAACAACAACATGTATTGTCAATTCTCTCTCACTTCTGAAAGAAGGACAAAAAATTATATTGCTAAACAGGTAATGTTGAAAACTATGTTCATGCTGTTATTTTTATACTGTTAAAAGCCTGACACTGTCCACAGCCCAATTTTGAACAATTCTCAGGGTTATTTTACACACAAAAAATAACTTGGTTTGAAAATTATTTTTAGCTGAAAAAAGCACTTTGTGTCTATTTAGGATGCTAGCTTGTTTTTTGTAATATTAATAGACAATTATGCATATTTGCTCTTTATTATATTTCAGTTACAGATGTTAAGAATACAATTGAACTTTATTCCCAATTATACCATTAAAAATAGTAATCTGCAGGTGGCAGATCTAGTTGACATTGGTCGATCTTCAAAGTTTAGCAGGGTCAGCCCTGGTTAGAATTTGGAGGGGAGATCATCAAGAGATCCCAAGGCTATGAACTAGGTTGGAAGCTTTTAAAACATACACACACACCTTTGGAGGAAGTGCTGCTATGGGACTGCCAAGATACTACCATGGCTGTGTCCCTGTCATCACCCAGAACCAAACTCGAGTCAAGGGAGACTTAATTTACTATTAAATCAAGCATGGCCTAGAAGCTCCTGAAATGACATTGCAGGGCTCACATATAACACCAACCAATAACAGGCTTTGTTGAATTTATGTATTGTGCCAACAGAATCATTGTGTTTGGTGTTTGTACTTTCTGGCAGTGTGTGTTTGCTTCTTGCTGTTGCCTGGTTTTTGCCATCTTCTGTTCTTTGTTTTTATCATTGTGTCATTTTATTGTTCCATGTGTTTTTATTTGTGAGCAATCCAGAGTTGCTAGGAGTTGGGCGGTATAAAAGATTAAGAAATAAACAATTCATTGTTTATTGTTTTGTATGTTATCTGAACTAGGACAATGGCTTGATCAACAGACCATTATTAAAACAAGCCATGGTGTATCCAACCACAGAAATTGGCTGCCATTATGTGCTCTGCCATTCAGTGCCCGAGCAGGTAGCAGCTTTGGGCCCAAGTACAAAGTTGTTCCCCAGTAAAAAGCTAATGCCAACTCTGATCCTCATTATGCTGGTATCTAGAAGCCTTAGTGGACTTCTTTTTCTTCCTTAATGGAGACATAAATTTTAAAAACCTAAGAACTGACAAAGCTTAGTTATGTACAAAGCCCAGAAACAAGAAAAGGAATTTGCAAATAATGGAAAAGTAGCCTTGATTGGTTGTGACTAAGTGTGTAGCATGAACCCAGCCATTGTGGTTTATAAATACTTTATGTTGAAGTGATCAGTGGGAACCCAACCATTTAAACAAAGACTGTTTACCATACTGTGAGCACCCAGTGATAAGCTATGCATACACAGGACATCTTGCCTAATAACTCCGTTAACATGGTTATGCTGTCATTTTAGACTGTCTCCATGTTGCACTGTATTTTAAGTATGGTGAGTCCACACAGCCTCCTTGCTCTGGCACAAGGACAGCCCACTAACCATTTCCCATGAATGTCAACATGCCTTTGCCTATATGTCAATGTCCTCCCACAGGTAAGGCAGTCCAAGGATAACTTAAGATATTGCACTCTGGAAGTAGTATTTTCCCATCCCATCTCCAGAACAGCATACTGGCAATGTAGGGTGCATATATGCACACCAGGGATGATATGCTCCATACCGGCAATCTTGTGGCTCCATTGTTTCCTGCAGGACCACCTCTCTGGTCCAGTCTCTGACTTCTTCATCCACTCCTCATCCACCTCTGGCTGTGATGGGGATGGGATCCCCGGCACCTATACATCTTTTTTTCTTTCTTCTTTCCTTTGTGAATGGGTTGATTAAGCAGTCATCTGTCAATGTGCAGAGCAGGTGCCCCTGACATTGACTACACTGTTTGCATGTTCATGAACATTGGACTGAAAAATTCTGTTCTCTGAGTTGGTATGTATGTTGTTTGCTTGTTTGTCTCTTGAAATGGTTGACCTAGCACGTAGTCAAGAAATTTTAAAATACCTCTTAACTCCATGCTGCTGCATGCGATCAAATAATCCAGTGGTCAACTGAGAGAGTGCTAAACCCATTCCTCCTTTAAGCCATATAATTTGAAACTAATTCAAATCAGATCAATCTTTATTGTGTTCATTAACTAACACAGGAAATGCAGTTTGAAAACCTTAGCTCTCGTACTTTGGTAGCCTGCATATGCCTGTACACATCTGGATGACCCTCTAGATTGCAGTCAAGAGATACAGATTTCTAATTCTTTGCTGCCTCTGAGTGGTTGAAAGATCAAACAGTTTATCAGTAGTTGTAAGGAATAAAAGAAAATTGGTCGACACTACAACAGGAAATAAACAAAATATAATGTACAAGCAACGAGTGTTGAGCATGCCACTTGGAGGAGTCTCCATGTAGTGGATGATATTAGGCAAGGCTAGAATTTCAGCTGTGGCAACTACCAATTACAGTTGTTGGAATGTCCTGCATTAAAACTGTATGGACAGCAGAATAGCAGAGATCCATTCCATATGCATACTAGGGATGCACTGTGGGAGGAGCCTAATTTAGGGAGCATGATTTCATGCCAGCTCTGGGATCGGAAGGGACTGTGGCAAGCAGCTTGTGGATTTGGACTATATTTCCTATCATGTCCTCTGAATCTGAAACATCCAATGTTTTGGTTTGCATAAACCAGATTTTCTAATGAAAGCTTGTGGTGGGATACAAAGTCCAATTTGTGTAAACCGAAAATGACAGCTATATCAAATTTGTGTGACTGGGTAGACCTCGAACTCCCATAGTAGAAGGTAAAATGATAACTCATCAGACTATGTTGTATTGTACAAATAGAATGACAGGAAACAACTGTTACTTAATGAGTTGTTTAGTACCCCAAACCGAACAAATTTAAAAGGCACATATATAACTTCCTTTTTTATGATAATTATATTCACCTGTTTATGTTCTCTCCTCAGGCTTTCATCCTGAAGTTGTATCATCATGAGAGAATCAGAAGAAGTGTCCAGGAATACCTTGGACAATGAATGGAAGAGCATGAGAAAACAAAAAGAATGTGGCATATAAAAAGAATTAAATACCTGGAGGTATTAGTTGCCATACATCTGTAAAAATGGGAGTTAATTTCTCAAAATACAAATTAGCTTAGACAGTTAGCAAGCTTGGAGTTATGCTATGGAACTAGGAATAAACATTTGTGTCCCTTTGTTGCCAGTGACAGAAAATTGATGGATTATGATTTTCCCAAGTTGGAAATACTTGTTTTTACCTATTTAGGATATCCTTATGACTACATAAGGAATAACACATTTCATAACTGCCTTGGTTCAGAATGGGCAATTGACTTGTCAACAACAGCAACAAAAATGGTCGATTTTATGGACTGAGACAAAGCCTTCCAATGCATTTTGTACACCCTGGGAATTACTGTGCTGTATGGCCACCTCCTGAAGGCCATGATGATTTCTAGAATAAGGATATCTTCCTGTTGATATCTTTGAAGAATCATAAGCTTAATCAGAAAAATGAATGGAAGCAAGGAATGTGACAGTGGGGACAAGGATGGAGGGCTGCCAGCAGTACAAGTCCCAGTTGGTTGGCAACGGAGGGTGGATCAAAATGGAGTCCTGTATATTAGGTAAGTATGCAGTTATTAGATATGCAATTGGCTGAAAATGCCTTCATTAGTGTTTTGTGGAATTAGAGTTGTTGAATTGGCAGGAAAAGAATAGATGACTCTTACACCTATAAACAATAATTTCTGCTCTCTGGAGAAAGCAATGATAAAACAAAATGTCTAAAATTAACTCTGTCCACAAGCCTGCTTAGCTCACTTTTTAAAGAAGCCTATATATTAAGAACTAATTCAGTTTGTTTTTTTTAATGCAGACAAACCTGTATGAAAATAAGTTTCTACAACTTCTACATATAGATTAAACACACCAGCTGCTGATGGAACATATTTAATAACTTTGTGGAATATAAAAGTTCAAAAAAACAGCACTGACATTTTCTTGTAAAAATATTTAAAATTCCAATGTATCATGAGCCTTTTAATGCAGAAAAAGATTATAAAAGAGGCATTCAAAAAGCTCCACGTCTAATAATTAACATTTTTTAATAAATAACTGAGGTTCACCTTGTGGGCAATAAATTTGATTCATGAAAAACAAAAAAAAAGCCCCCATTTTAAAAAAAAGTGTTAATGTGTCATGTAAAAGCCATGTTCATATTTTCTCATAGATTTAAATGTCTGAAACTTTACATCTATTATTCTCTGCCATGAATGTGCTTAAGAAATAAATAGGGCACATGATCATGTACAAGCCAAGAGATACGTTGTGAATCATTTTAAATACAACGCTGTGGAAAACTGACATAACAAAAGTCGTTGAAAGTCACCTCACTGTGTGGACGGTGAATGTCCTTATTGTAACAGTTTTCCTATCCATTAAGTTAGGAAACATTTTAACACCCATATTTAAAGTATCCTATAATCCTGCTTGGTTTTGGCTCTATGCAAAAAAAGTTCCCATCCCACAAATTGGATAGTCTATTGCATCTGTAAATGGATATGTTTTACATTCTGGAATGTCATGAACTGTATGTCCAAAGAAAAACATTGATCAAATCTGAAGGGTGATAAATTTAACATGGCCACTTGTGATCCAGCAGGGAAAAAAATGGGTTTCTTAATTGGAACAATGTATGCCTTCCAAGAACATAATATAAAGATGTTATCTTCAAAATTCATAATATTGACAATAAATTGAGAAATACATTGAGAGTATTTCTCAATTTATTTTCAGTATTATGAATTTTGAGTATGACATCTTTATATTGTATAATGTTCTTGGCCAGCTTCTTTACATGCAGAGTGATCAGGAGCAATTGCTTCCTTCCTTGTGACCATGGGGGAAGGGACTGTCTTTCTCCATGTGGTACCTGTGGCAGGGAGGTTTATTCTTCCACATGTGCAAAAGGAAAAGAGATTGAGCCCTGAGGTTAGACTTCATTCAGCTGACCTGTGGAAAGCTCCTCACTTCCACATGGTTGCTATATCTTGATGCAACAAGTGGCCCACGAGTTCCCAAAACAGTTGGCTTAGAAATGCAGGAAGAAAAGGCCTTGGATTTAAACTCAGGAATGTAGACCTCTATTCATGTTTTGATTTCTGCATGCCGCCCTGGGCAATCTTCTGTGTTTATATGGCTTTATTCTTCTCTGCAGTGAAGAGATTAATATTGCTGAGTCCTATCTCTGAACTATCTGCCGAATAAGCCAATTTCTAAATAAGTTGTTAAATGTCTAGAAATTTGAGATTTACAACCATGCCTTTGCAAACCTAGAATACTGAGCTATATGTTTCAGGAAGAGGAATTATTTAAAATTTAAATAAAGGAAGTTTCTGTAAAAACAAACAAAAACCTGTAAATAATGGGTTTATTTTTACCAAAATTGGACTTGTATCTATCTAAATCATTATTGAGACCAAATATAATTTTCTTCTCATGTTCGTAAACAGACATGCTACGTATAAGATACTTTTTAAAAAGCCCAAAAAGGGGTATATTGGTACTCATAAGTTGGAGTTTATTACAATATACAATAAACCCAGCAAATGTTAACATAAAGACTTTATCAAAAGTCTTTATCAAAAGTCTTTATTAGGTCATATGAAAAATGACTTAATAAAATAACTTTGTAAAATCCATTAAAATACTGAATGCTAAGCTAAATCAAACTATTCAAGTAGACTTTTTTATACTTTTGATTTATTCATTCAGTATGAACATTAATTTGATTATTTTTTGGAAGACTATTTTATTTAGCATTGTGTCTTAATTCTTTATTACACATCATTTCATGGTGTTTCTGAAGAAGAGTTAGTGCTAATCTAGATAGAACGATCAAAATTTATTTTAGAGGGATTATCCTAAATGAGTCTTAGCCTTGCACATTCCATGTCTATGCTTTACAAAGCTAGTTTGTTTCCACTGATTTTTCCACTAAAGTGTAATCTAAAATCTAAAGTGTATACTAAAATCTTAAATGGAAATTATAACTTCTAATCTTGTAGTTACATCAAAAGGAGAAGAGTTGAGCAAAAACTCAAGTTTCACTGCAGTTGTCCTTGTATTAACTGTAGTTAAATATTATATGCAGAGTAACTTTGTGGGTTGATTTGGGTTTAATTATCTTGATTCAATAAACCATGGTTTTATTCCCAAATTAATAAAGGTGTGGTTTATTGAGCCAAGATTATTAGGCCCAAATCAGTCCTCATTCTACATGCAACATTAAATTATGACACAAGAACTGCAGTGTATGATTCACATAATCTTGTATGATTCTATGACTTTTCATTTCTCACACAGTGGGAACTTTCAACCATAGGTGCCTGATTGATTGATAGATAGATAGATAGATAGATAGATAGATAGATAGATAGATAGATAGATAACATAGGATTATCATAAATTTACAGTTTTCCACATGAAATACTACAGAAAACTGTGGAATAAAGAAAGTATAATTGAAACATCTCAGTGAGCATACTGTATGAGGAATGTGTAGGAACATATGGCCTACCAGTTGTTTGGTATTTAGTAAACTGTTTATTAAGCTAGAATTATATGTCTAAACCAGCTACCAATATTGAAATTAATAGCATATCACTAAACGGAGTACATTCTATTTAAAAATTGTGGTGTTTATTTTGCCTGTTAAATATGATGATTTAGTGACACAACTAAATGTTGTGTGATAATGCTGATTTGCTGAAAGTATTATTCTGTTTGTCCTAGAGTTTAAATTTAAAATGGAAGAAAACTAGGATCTGATTGTTGAACTAGCTTATAATACAAATTTATCATATTCTTCATTATTATTAGTAAAATTTAATAGTCAAAACTTCTTTTTGGACCTTCACAGTGCTGCTACTGCTTCTCTTCCTCTTGAACCTTTTCAAGAACTGTTAAATAAATAGTACTAATTAGAGATAGAATTGTAATTCGAAATAAACAGCACCTGTGTTCCCTCCAAATTTTTATATAAATATATCTCAACTGAAGCATTTCTATGCCATTTTATAATGTGGTTTGCAATTACAAACTCATACACAAAGTGTGTGTGTGTATGTGTGTATATATATATATATATATACTGTGTATATGTATGTACATATGTAGGTGTATGTGTGTGTATATATATATATGTATATTGCAAGTTATGCACAAAATGCATTATATAAGGCAAAATTGCTTACTAAAAGTGCAGAGTAGGAAAATTACATATAAAAATGAATGTATCAGGAAAAAGTAATATAAGATATACATGAAAGATCTGAGTAGGGTTTGTTTGTTTTTTTACTACATAAACCCACAAACTAACATAGTTGAAAAAATAAGAAATTGGAGAAGAGTAAAGTCTCTAGTTGTAATAATTATTAATACTACATTTGGTTATGACAAATATGAATGTTATCATTGTCAAAACAAAGTTAATGTCTAGTTTGAAACTATAAATTAAAAGACCTTAGAGATTAAATGAGAGACTGCAAATGGCATTGGCTGAAGTGACAATGGAGATTTTAAAAAAAGAGAGAGAGAGAGAGAAATTAAATGGAAATAATGAATAAAATGGCAATATCCTCATTAAAGGGGGAAGATAATTGGGTAACTGTGAGAAGCACTGTGCCCACAGATGTAGCCTTAGATTTTTTAAAAAGAAAAAAAATAGGAATCTGATATGGTACAAAAAAAGAAAATATCCGCCTCCTGCACATAAGCCACGTAGCCATTCTTAAGAAATAAAAACAGTGCGTAGTTGTACCCCCCTCCCAGAATAAAGGCTTTTTAGGATGGAAAGAGCATTCTGGGTAGCACTGAGCAACATCACCAAGTTGCCTTCTGGTCAGTGGATATTTCTGACTAGACTTGATTACTATGGTAGCTACTTTATTAACTTGTGAGTTCTGCATTAGAGAATTGTCTGAGACTGCCTACAACCCATTGTCGTCATTCCAAATACGTCAACAAGCCCAATATGTTTGCCTGTTCTGTTACAAGGGTAATATCCAGCAACCTTGAAAATAGTGATTGAAGTACGTGGTTCATTATTCCCATTCATTTCCTGAAATGGAAGAAAAAGGAAAATGAGGTATTTCATCCAGACTTAATTATTGCATTCTGTCCTATCCACATTTTAAAAAGAAAAGGGAGAGAAAGTTTGGGGCAAGAATGTGTTTCAGGTTAGGTGTTAACATGACCTGAATAGAATAGAATATTCTTTTTCTATTTGTTATGAAGTTATGAATGTCTTCATATTGGCATATACTATGACATGGAAATCTGGAAAAAAATTAATCAAAATTTATACAATATGTGAAAATAAATCATATCCCCTGAATCATGTTGCATGCTACTTCATGTCATTTTCAGCTATTGTTTCATTTTGCATTTGATGGCTATTAAATTAGCTTAATTGTATGGTGTAATTCTACAACTTAAACTTTGTAATTTATATGCTGGTGCCTTAACCTAGTTTTCTATTCTTGATTTTTTTTATGTTATCGCTTTCAAAAATATCTAACATTACAATTTTTGATTACATTACTGAACACACATAACTAGAGATAGAGATATATGTAATCCTCGTTTAGCTAGCACAACTGGGACCAGCAACTCTGTCGTTAAGCAAAGCAGTCACTAAGTGAAATCACAACTGTGCTTATGATCTTACCTCAGCTTTCCTTTGCTTTACAGACCTGTGAAGGTCGTAAATGCGAGGATTGGTCACAAAGTTACTTTTTCATCACTGTTGTAACTGCTAACGGTTGCTAAACGAGGCATTTGCTAAATGAGGACTACCTGTAGAGATATATATCCTGGCTCTTCTGACCTTGTGGACATCATATTGCCAAGATTGTCTGAAACTATTTTTTTGTGTTCTTATAAGCTACTGCTTGTGTCATCTATGAGAATATCTAACCACCTTGTCTTCTGCTAGCCTCTTTTTCAATTGCATTTGATTTTTTTGAGGCATCTGAGTCTTTTCCAATGGTTCTTGCCTTTGTGTTATATGTCCAAAATATTTACGCTTTAGCTTCATTATTAGTGCTTCCAGTGAGCAATCAGGTTTTAGTTCATCTAGTATTGAATTATTTATTCTTCTTGTAGTCTAAGGTATTCTGAACAGTTTTATCCAGCACCACAATTCAAATACATCAATTTTTTTCCCTTCAGCCTTTCTGATGGTCCAGCTTTCCCAGGCATGTGTTACAACTAGGAAAATCACAGCCTTAATAATATGTGCCTTTCTTGTCAGTGTACTGTCTCTGCACTTCAATATTTTGTCTAGATCTGTCATCTCCCAAGCCTCTTTATTTCATGCTATAATCATCATCCCTCTGAGTTTTTGACACTAAGAAAATAAAGTCTGTTAGCTTTTCAACTTTTTCTCTACCTATTTGCAGTGAGTTGGCATTGCCAGTTGACATAATCTGAATGGGTTTTTTTTAATATCAAACAGCAGACCAGCTTTTGCATTCTGTTCTTTCACCTTCAACAAGAGATGCCTTAAGTCTTCCATACTTCCTGCCATCAAAGTGGTATCATCAGCATATCTGAGGTAGTTGATGTTTCTCCCAGCATTTTTAATTCTAATTTCTATTCTAGTCCAACATTTCTCATGATATGTTCTGCATATAAGTTAAATAAGTGAGATGACAGTATACAACTTTGGAACAGTCCTTTTCCTATTGTGAACCATTGAGTAGTTGCTCCATAATCCATTTTTTGTTTCTTGGTCATCATACATTTTTTAACAGGTAGATGAGGTGACTTGGCATACCCATACTTAAGGGCTATCCACAATCTGTGATGGTCTACACAATCAAGCAAAAACAGACCTATTTTTGGAATTTTCTAGCCTTTTCCATTATCCATCACTTATTAACAATGTGATCTCTGGTGCCTCTGGCTCTTCAATCCAGCTTGTACATCTGTTGGCTTTCATTCCATGTGTTGTTGAAGTTTGGATTGCAAAATCTTGAGAATTATCTTACTAGCAAGTGGGATAAGTTCAATCATGTGGAGATAAATATTTATATTATGATATGTTACATTATATAAAATAATATGCATTGAAATTATTCCAAAGAACCCTATTTGAGTAGTCTACAATACTGTTACTATATGTCTTAGTTTTAATAGATATGATCTAACTTTATGGCAACAACTGCATAATCCGCAGTAGAGGCTAAGCAATAAATCTAGCACCCACAGATTGAAAACCTGACTCTATTTTTGCTATGACCAAACATTTAAATATAACTTCTCTGTCAAGTGCATCTAGAACTTGGCACAAGTATAAAATCCATTATATTTTTGGCGGAAGATTTGGACAATTGCTGGCTGATCAATGTGTTAAGCTATCTGAAACTTTGCTTCCTTGGGGCATGTGGTGATGGCATGGTCGGAATAGCAGCTAAACAATCAGCTTCAGTAATTTTTCAGATTCATTTGTCTTATATAGCAACAACTGATTTGTGATTAGTTTGCTGTATCAGATATAAAGCAGTGCATAATTTTCTTCAACAGCACATTTGGGAAGAATGGTGCCAAATAGTATAATGGAGAAAAGAATGGAGTTTCTCAAAAACATGAAATAATCCTTAAAAGCATATAAAAATGACTTCTAGAAGTTCCAATTTTTATACAATTAAAAGCAGATTCCATTTGTATTTTTCAATGGAGCTATATTTATTTGAATAGCTATATTTATGTAACTTATGTTATTGGGTTTTATTAGAGTATCACAAGAAGTGTAACCTAAATTAGACAACATCCAGTTCCAACAATAATTCATCATGTTAGCTCTTCAAAATGAGAAATATCAAAGTAGTTAATAATCAGGATTTACCAAATCATCTTTGGAAAAGTGGAATTATTTTAATGAAGATAAAAACTAGGAAAGTCACAATGACATCATAAGATAGGGATACTCAAATTTGTGGTGCCATGACCCCAACATTTCAAATATGATCAACCGTTCTCATCAGCTTGTTACCACAAATTCAAGAATATGCTCTAATTAATGTAACTAAAATGAAATTGAAATTCCTGAGAAATGCAGTGGTTTTGGAGTGTAACATTGACAGACTACACTCCAGGCTTAGCTTCCCACTTTATTGCAAAGAAGAAAAAGTGTGTGTTTTAAGCTTAGATCTAATGTGTGCAAAAATGTAATAGCCAATCTTCACAAACCAGACTGAACCAGCTAGGTAACATTCCTTGGTATCACTTTGTGCTGTACTTTGGGCATCTGTACATTATAAGATAAACTGTTTTTTGAGACTAGGACTGAAAAGGGAAGGTAAAGAATTTCCTGATTTTATGTAATACATTTTTAGACCTCAATGCCCTTGAAGCTCCAGGATGCCATAGGGCCTATCCTTCCTAACCCATAAGATGATGGAAGGGCAAGGTGTCAGTAATCACAGAAATTGGCTGGGTACAAACAGCAGACAGAATATGGAGACTTCTGCACAACAGAAGAACAGGAGATGAGACCCTCTTTTGTTCCATTTCCAATTCAGCAGCAGCTTGCTTGGAGGTACTCTGCATATATGCCTAAGAAAACTGCCACTGTTTGAAGAGGCCGAATAGATCCAGTGGAACATGCTCCCGACATTTTTCTGTTTACTGTTTGCTTTATGCTGGCTTTATCCAGTAGCAACCTGTCACTGCACATAATCTAAGCAAACGCATTCCAAAAACCATTTCTCTTCTAGGTTACATTCCTATCCAAATTGCATTTCATTTTTTAGCAGGTCTACACCTCTGAAAAATGTGTGTGCTATAATGAAGGAATCTTGCAGTAGGTTAGTAATGTCAATTCAGAACAATTATGTAATATAGGAGCTTGAAACTGTTGTGTGTGTATGTGTGTGAGAGAGAGAGAGAGAGAGAGATTTTAGATTCCCACAATATGAAATATGTGCTACTTCCCTATCCTGAAATAACTGCACAATAGTTCCACAATACTTCTGTACATTAAATTCATTCATTTTTTTAGATTTGGAGGCTACCTGATTCTCAAACAACTCTGGGTCACTTACATCCAAGGACAAGAAACAATGAAATAGAAAATAAGATTTGGAAAAAAAAAACCATAAAAACACAACACACACAAAACCCCTCAATTGTCAAAATAATCACCAGTGGCTTAACAACCACCCCTGATGTATATTATATATTAAATATGTATAACATATTCGTACTGTATTCATTATAATTTAACAGATAAAGTGGTAGCTACAGTATCCAGAAGAACTCTGAAATGTCAAGCTTTGAATGCTTGTTGCAAAGTGAAGGTCAGAGAAAAATATGTTAAAAATACTGTTCTAAATGGAAATTATATTTATCTTAATTCTAGACAAAGTATATTGCTTGTTATTGTTTTCTAATCTGCTTTTCGAATTGTTAACAAAGTGTTTCTAACACTAATTGATATACATTTGTTACATTTTTTATTCTTTCAGTCCTAGTGGGTCTTTATTGTCCTGTTTGGAGCAGGTTAAAACATACCTGTTGACTGATGGAACATGCAAGTGTGGATTAGAATGTCCTCTCATCCTTCCTAAGGTAAAATCAGATATTTGAATATGCTAAATGGAAAACTAACATACCTTGAAAGGTATTGGACTTTAAGTACTATCATCTCCCTATGTATTATAAGAAGGCATTATCCTTCCTAGCTGAGGATGATAGATGTTGAAGATGTCATCATGAGAAAGTCTTGTTCAGGATATTTCAAAGTTTAATTTCTTTCAGTGAATGCAACTTTAAAAGGCATCAATTTGAAACTAAATAATGGTTACAACTTGTATTATGCCGTGTCAAGGAAATCAGTATTATGCTAACCAAGCTACCTTCTTTTATTGTCTCTTTGATTTTAAGATGCAAATTATTTCCATATTTTATAATGGAGCTTGAAGGGAAAATTATTGGCTACGTTGTCCTAATGAATTACAGTAGATCTTTTTAAATCTGAACAGATATACTTAAAGAGAGAAAATTTAGGGTTTGATCATGCAAAGATTGAAATGTTTTAGAAATTGAACAAAAACTGATTTAGAAGGATAAGGAATAGGAGGAAGGAGAGTATGGCATGGGATATCTTAAAAAGTAACATGCCATGATTGGCCAGTTAGAAGTATAAGGAATAGGAGGAAGGAGAGTATGGCATGGGATATCTTAAAAAGTAACATGCCATGATTGGCCAGTTAGAAGTACAGAAGCACTCCATCAGCAACATTTTGTAGCAGTCAGATTAGTTTTCTTAGTAACAAAGTTCTACAGTATAGCAGTTGCCAAGTTCCTTAAAAATAAATAGCTGTACTCTTTTCCACATTTAGAAATTGCAAGAAACACTAGATAAAGGAGAAATGTATTGATGATCCAATATAGAAGAACCAAACCCTATAGTAAGACATAATTTTCAAGCTACAGTTTTAACAGTTAATCAGCAAAATTTTGTGGAGAACAGTGGGTCCTGCAGTTACCATAATCTTCTGGATCAGAAGTAGGCAACATTTCCCTAACTGGGAATACACTTGTTTTTTTTCTCCCTGTCCCAAGGGCAAGAGTGGTTACCCCTTCCAAGTTTTTCTTTCCCCCCCCCCCCAAGTGTTTGTTTTTGGATTGGTTGGGTTTTTTGGAGGGCAGAAGAATTGTTGTAATGCTTTAAGCCAATCTTCTCCAATCTGGACAACTTCCAGATGTAAGAAATTAAATTTTCAAAATTCTCCCCATCTAAACTGAGGAGGGAATTCTGAGAATTGATATCCCTATATCTGAAGTGCTGAACTTGGGGGAGACTACAATAGTCCTGTTCTAAAGCTTTAAAATATTGAAATAATCCTTAAAACAGCAGAATATCATACCACAGATTTGCCAACACTGAGTCAAGTGGGTCTCTAAGATCTAGAATAAAGGGTTCATGAACCATATACCAGCTACAAGTTGGTTTCCCTACTCTAGAAGGGCAGATCTTTAAAAAAAAAAAGTCCCTTAGCATATTTTATCTGATGGGCCAGTTTTTGAAGAAATTGAAGGAAGTTTCTGGAGCTGTTGTATCTGTGATCTTAATTAGAAATATTATCTAACATTATGATTCCAACGTTATTTTAAGGTATTTAATTTTGATCCTGGAGTTGCTGTAACACAAAGAACAGCAGAAGATGTTAAAGCAGATGAAGATGTCACTAAGCTATGCATCCATAAACGGAAAATTATTGCTGTGGCTACACTTCATAAAAGCATGGAAGCACCGCATCCCTCATTGGTTCTAACTAGTCCTGGTGGTGGAACAAGTGAGTTCTGTTTCTCATTAACAGGGAACAAGAAAATTCAATACTGATATGCATGTCTTTATGAGTAATGAGGAACATTAAAAATCTATAAAGATAGTTATTGATACTAAAATACAAATTGCTTCTTTTTATATATGTATGTCCATCTATTTATGAGTTCCAAGAGGCAATCAAAACTTTGAGCCATGTGAGCCTCTTGTTTTAATCCATTCATTTTTTTTAATTAATTAATTTATTTATTGAATTTATACACCACCCATCTCACTGTATAAGTGACTTTAGGTGGCTTACAAATAAAAAAGTGAGAAAAAAACTATAAAGTTTTACATTTCCTTCCACTTCAAGGTGGAATTCAAAATATGCTTACCAGCTTTATCTGCAAAGGATCCCTGGTTCACTCTCTAGTATTTCAGTTATAGATAGCTATTCTAGGTAATACTTTTTTTGTAAGGTGCATAAAAATCTTTTTTTGTTTTTGCTAGTATGAGCATGAGCTGTTGTATTAGATAAACGGGGTCTGCATCAGTAAAAATATTTAGTAGGTAAATCAGTGTAACAGTCCCATATCTTAGCAAAATGCTACAATTCTGGGCATTTACTATGCCTGGGAAGTAGCTATGCTATCAGTGTTCTATGAGTATCTGTGCTTTGCTAATACCTGCACTGGGCATTTGATATCAAGGGCCTTAAAGCAACTATTTTAACTTCTCCCATCCAAGAAAATTCACTATCAGTAAAAGTTGGAGAGGAGCTGTTCCAAGAAAACAGAAGCTGAACTTCCACTTGGTGGATCTACAACCTTCTTACTTTCATCTAATCATAGTTATTTAGAATAAAGTAGGAGGATGGAAGCAAATGTCAAGGTTGCTATTGTATAACCCCAGAAAAAGACAGACCTGTTTTAAAGAGTTACAGGCAGGTGCTACATTTGCACCCTGGCATCCTAAAGTATCTTTGTAGTATAGTCTGAAACATGCACAGGCCTAGTAAATCAAACTAATCTTTATTACAGTAATAGACCAACATAAAACGCAGGGAAGGAATATTGTCACTAATAGATGGAATAGGAGCATTAAAAATTATATAAAAACAGTAAAATATATCAGGTTGAGCATAAATATGATAAACTACAAGTCCATAAGCTGCTAGGTTATAAAATGCTTTATGGTGGCAAACTATAGGCATACTGAGACTAAACTATAAGGTTGGGTGCTAAGTATGACGTAGAAATTATCATCCAGCAAATGTTGAGTGTAGCTGCACAGAACCTGGCAACACAATGTGTTGTGGCAGGATTAATGTCTAAAAGCAGCAAGGTAATGTAAAATTGTCTCATATGCCCTGAATACCTATCTAGAAAAGATAGGAAATTGGGATGAATACCACTGCATGACAAGTGCTGCTGTTTCTACAAACCCTAGAACTATAATGTCACAAGGGCATTGCCATTGCCATTCTGAGAAGGGAGTCCTCTTGTGTCATGTCTTAAGCACAGCTGAATGGAGAGGGTATCATTGCATTAAAGTAAAGACCTTTCTATGTTTTGGGACTTCCAGCTATGATAAGTATGCCATAGGGGAGGATAAAGAAGTTTGGGGGCCTAAGTCAAACTGTTGTGCCCTGTTTGATGAAAGCTTTGGCCTAATCATAACCCATGCCAAGTAGAAGAGATGAACAAAAGTTCAAGGACAAGATAAGTCACAACTGCTCATTTCCAAATGAATTGGAAGTCATTCCTCATGTATAGGGGAGAAAGTCCAAGGGGGAAGAGAGATAAAGCCAATAGGTAAGTATGGCCATCCACATTCTAGCCTCCACTTTCATGAGGCCTGTCTCCAGTTGCAGGGTGGTATTGGAGACACAGTTAGGGAATTAAAGGCCTGTTTCTAAGAAGTTTGTACATGCTCCAGTGAGGCAAAATTAAAAAGGGGACCCAACTGAGCATCATGGAGAAGATGTGCCACCCTAGTCGTAGTTCAGGACTACATCCAATTTTATATTTGCCTCCCTCTCCCTGCATATCTCTTAAGAACAATTGTAAGGTGAATAGAGAATACTGTTATGTCATTAGATATTTATTTTATTTATTTATTTATATTTCAAATTTGTCACCGCCCATCTCACTGTGGGGTGACTCTGGGCGGTTTACAGTAAAAATAGAATAAATATTGATTAAAATAGATAAATATTAATTAATTAAAGCATGTTAAAAACACACTTCTTTATAGTTCCAAGAGGCAGGTGTAAGTTAGGTGTTAATAAACTCAGGGAGCATCGTCAAGGTGCCAGCCATCCCCAGGATCGATTGTATCTTTCCTCACCCCAGGCAAGTTGGCAGAGCCAAATTTTCAATTCCCTCTGAAAAATTGGGAGGGTAGGGGCCCACCTCACCTCTGGGAGGAGAGTATTCCATAGGGCGGGGGCAACAGCAGAGAAGGCTCTCCTCCTAGGACCCGCCAGTTGACATTCTCTCACTGACAGGATCCGCAACATGCCTTCTGTGCCAGACCGGGTGGGATGGGTCGATGTAATGGGGGTGAGACAGTCCCTCAGGTAACCTGGACCCATGCCATGTAGAGCTTTAAAGGTGATAACCAACACCTTGAATTGGACCCGGAAACAAACTGGATCCCAATGCAGCTCCTGCAGCAAAGGTTTTACATGTGCCCTCCTTGGGGCACCCATGATTGCCCACGCAGCCGCATTTTGAATACACTTCAAGGGTAGCCCCATGTAGACCGCATTGCAATAGTCTAAATGAGAGAGGACCAGGGGGTGAGTGACAGACTGGAGGGACTCCTGATCAAGGAAGGGGCGTAACTGGCGCACAACACAAAGTTGCGCAAAGGTCCTCCTGGCCACAACTCCCACCAGATAGACAATTGAGTACAACCTTAAATGTACGTAGTATGTAAAGGAAACCAATTTTTGGTGCTGGTGGAATCTAATATGGAGCCAATTTTGAGTAGTTTAGCTCTCACCTGAACAGTATTTTGCTTAGACTAAAAAGTCATATGAGTGGTTTCATATATAAAAGTAGACCCACATTTTTAATTTTGTTTTTTATATTGAATAGGGGGAGTTATTTGATGTTTCTAACTGAATTGCACAGTTGACTGTGCTTAGGCTTAGAAATCTAATTAATTGATAATATTACCTAGTTCCTACCACACTGAATGTTCCAGTTGTCTACCATAGATAGCATAGCAGTGCTACGGAGATGAAGCAACAGTTTTCTCAGTTTGCTGTTTGCTACAGTAGCATAGGGCAACCTTCCCTGAATTGGCCACCATCAGAATTTATGGGCTTCAATCCCAGGATGGCCATTGCTGAGACTTTGGGAATTGAAAACCATACATTTACACAGGTCTAGATGGGAAATGCTGGCATAGGGAGTAAAGTATACAGTATAGGGATATCTATTAGAATTCCTGGTTAAAATAGTTTAATTTTATTATACTATTAGTTGTAAAATAGTAATTCTTATGTATTTTAAATAGGTGTAAGTCCAATAGTACCTTCACGAGCGGCAACTCCAAGATCGGTGAGGAATAAATCACATGAAGGAATTACTAATTCTGTGATGCCAGAATGTAAAACTCCTTTCAAGTTGATGATGGGAGCCTCAAATGCCATGGGTAGGTTATATGTGCAAGAGATGACTGCAAGCCAACAAGAACTTCATTCTGTCTATCCTAGACAGAGATTGGGCAATAATGAACATGGGCAGAAGTCGCCGTATCGTGGCAGTCATGGAGGAATGCCCAGTCCAGCTTCATCAGGCTCACAAATATATGGAGATGGTTCAATCTCACCTAGGACAGATCCACTTGGAAGTCCAGATATTTTCACAAGGAATAATTCCAATTTTCATGGAGCACCCAATTCTAGTCCTGTTCACATGAACAGAACCCCTCTCTCCCCGCCCTCAGTAATGTTACATGGTTCTCCTGTGCAGTCATCTTGTGCAATGGCTGGAAGAACTAATATACCTCTTTCTCCAACTCTGACCACCAAAAGTCCAGTAATGAAAAAAACCATGTGTAATTTTTCAGCTAATATAGAAATGTCACGAGCAGTGTTTCACCACAAACCACCTCAAGGCCCACCGCCGCCACCACTACCACCACCACCACCACCTTCTTCATGTACGCTTCAGAAAAAGCCATTAACATCAGAGAAGGATCCACTTGGCATTCTTGACCCCATTCCCAGCAAGCCCATGAATCAAAATCCTGTTATAATTAATCCAAGTACTTACCATTCAAATGTCCACTCTCAGGTACCTGTGATGAATGTAAGCATGCCTCCAGCTGTTGTTCCTTTACCAAGTAATCTCCCTTTGCCAACTGTAAAACCTGGTCACACAAACCATGGAAGCCACATGCAAAGAGTTCAGCATTCTGCTTCAACTTCTCTCTCACCCTCACCAGTAACATCACCAGTTCATATGATGGGATCTGGAATTGGAAGGATTGAGGCTTCACCCCAAAGATCACGCTCTTCTTCCACATCATCAGATCATGGAAATTTCATGATACCAGTAGGACCACAGTCATCTTGTACTAATATTAAAGTTCCCCCTCGATCACCAAGATCAACAATAGGATCTCCTAGACCATCTATGCCATCAAGCCCTTCTATGAAGATAGACGGATTCCACCAATATAAGGACATTCCTAACTCATTGATTGCTGGAATGAGTAATGTATTAAATCCTTTGGGCAATGCAGCTTTTCCACCTGCACCTACTGGAAGTGGGTCCATGAAAAGTCAACCTGGCTTGCTGGGAATGCCTTTAAATCAGATCTTGAATCAGCACAATGCTGCCTCTTTTCCAGCTAGTAGTTTACTCTCAGCAGCAGCCAAAGCACAGCTAGCAAATCAAAATAAACTTGCTGGTAACAATAATAATAGCAGTAGCAATTCTGGAATAGTTGCCAGCAGTAGCAGCAGTGATGGACATAGCACTTTAAACACCATGTTTCCACCTACTGCCAATATGCTTCTACCAACTAATGAAGGGCAGAGTGGTCGAGCAGCACTACGAGATAAACTTATGTCTCAACAAAAAGATCCTTTGAGGAAAAGGAAACCCCCAACCACTACAGTGTTGAGTTTGCTTAGGCAGTCTCAGTTGGACAGCTCTGGAGTTCCAAAATCTGGGCCTGATTTGATAAGAAAGCAGAACCAAGGTTCATTTCCCATTACATCTATGTCTCAGTTACTTCAGTCCATGAGCTGTCAAAATTCTCATATGAGCAGCAATAGTTCTTCTAGTTGTGGGAGCTCAAATACTGTTTTGCCTTGCTCTGCTAACCAACTACATTTTACAGACACTACTATGACCTCTAGCACTCTTCAGAATTCACTGGCACAGGATTTACCTTTAAGAGGGGAAAGTATGCACTGCCCGAATTCAAACACTAATTTTGGCCATTGCACTAGTCCTGGCCCAAATAACCATCTTGCAGGCTTAATAAATCAGATGCAGTCTACTGGAAATTGTGGGGTGCTCAGTCAGTCTGGAATGACTTTAGGAAATTCATTACATCTGAACCCAGCTCAGCCACGAATCCAAGCACCTTCCACAAAAGTGATACCAAACAGCATTGTGAACAGTTGCAATCAAACAAGTCCTGAATCAGGTATGTTGCCTTTTGAAAAGGTTTTTCTGAATTTTTTTGAATTATGGTATTCCTTGTCTTTTAATGTATTTCGCTGGGTATCTTCAAGAAGAAAGCACTAATATTTCTTTATCTCGTCAAGAAGACGACATTAACGTAACTTGAACCTGGGATATAATTTAAGTACAAATCAAAATTGGAATTTTATCAATGTAATTAGAGCTTTATAACAGATTCTATTTCCTTCTAAAAGTTTGCGTGCATTTCTGGGTATTGCTGTTTTCTGTGATCCGTATGTATTTTTTTCAAATAGATGCATACCGTTTGGAGCAAGATAATATACCAAATATATCCATAAACTAACAAAATACATTGGTATAAATGTAGATGTAAAATGGAGTTGAGATACATAGGTAGTACATTTCAATTGTTGTGCAGCTCTGCATAGTCACATTAATTCTTACTGTTTTGCTTCCAGATAAGGCATGTTTATTAGCTATTTAGTTACTAGCCATTGTAATGGCGACTTATGTTATAAGAAGGACTGGTGACTTCCTAAATGGTAATTTATTCCTATGGATTTCTTGAGGCTTTGTCTTAAGCACAAACATCCCTGACTTACATAACCATTCTGTTTTAGAAAGCTTTGCATAAGCTGTTTTTTGGATAGGATAGATATTCATCCTTACAGCACACTACTTTACATTGCATGTGTAATGCAAATTTTTATGCACTCTGAAATTTTTAGATGTATAGTCAAGTTTATGTAAGTTAGGTTTTACATAACCTGGGAAGTATCTGTATTATCTTTCTATGGATCTTCTATTAAGTAGTTCAGAGGCGAGAGATAGAAAAAATGTATGTAAGATATTGGTATTAATATTAATTTTTCAAACTCAGAACATCTGCTTTATGCAGCCAATTTGCATTAGCATAATTAGAACTGGTTGAACTTGGTCACATTAGAAATAGAATATTTGAGCTGACTGGAAATTATTTAGTTCAATAATAGCAAGAGATTTCTTCAGTTAAGTGGCATTACTACAGATATGCCTGAAGGCTGGATAGGACTTCATGTAGGAGGCAGTGACCATTCTTCTAGCCTGCTCAGTCAGTTATCTTTTGATGATCTTAAAAATAGCACTGATTCAATCATAGCTTTGAAATTATCGGTATTACAATTATTTAATAATCTATATAAAAGAATATTTGAGCTCAAAGTCAAGATATTACTAGGGCCCATAAGACCAGTAGGAAAACCTGAGAACTAAGGAAGATGTTGGTTCTTCCCAAGACACTAATCAGAAGCTGCTTTCCAGATCTCCCACATGGAAAACACAGCTAGTTTACTGATTACATTCAGTTTAGAAGAATAATACGTTTCCTTGGGGATAACTGTTCCCATAGAGTCATTGCAGAATTGGGATTAAAGCATTAAATTCACATTACTAGAGGCTTTCTTGGCCATTTTATATCAAAATATGATTCATTTGCTGGAGCTATGATTTATTGAAAGGCATCTTGGGCAATGGTCCCAAGATTTATAAAATAAGTTATAATATAAAATAAATAGCTTTCTGTCATCATAATTTAGTAATAATATTGCTAATAAACTTTCCTTACAACACATTTTTATGAACAGTTGCAGATATCTGACCAAAAGTATTAGCTTATTCCAGGTACTAATGAATGACAAGAAATCTAATCTGAAAAGTTTTTGGAAATTATAGTTTACTTGAGTGAAAATTCAGAAATGCATTCAGCAGAACAATAGAAATTATTACCATTTGTCTTCACCAATTACGTAAATCTGTTTTATATTTCATTCTAAACTGCTTTAAGAAAACGTACCTTTTTGTAGATTGGGGAGTTGGGAAATAATAGTAAAGTTTAGATGTATCTTTTCTGTTGAGATTTTGATCAGGATATTAGCATTGAATGGAAGCGCATTGGATAACACTTTCACTCCACCTTTTCCTATTCCAGATAATATGTGCAGGAATGTGTCAGTGTGTTCACTTACTTAACCTTTCCCCGGAAGGTATCAACCTCACTGGGTTTTTAAATCTTTTTTTCTTGGATTAATTGGATTTAATTTTTTTTAATAATAGTCCCCTTCCCCCAATTGGAATTTGATTTATGCAGAGAATTAAATTTTGTCTGACGTCAGCTTCATTTTTCCATAGCTATTTCCCTAAAATTGTGGAATAGCATAAAACTATGATGGGTGCTTTCTTCACTCAGCAGTATGCCAATTTTTATTAGCAAATAAAACAATACACTGCTGACACAAAATTAACCTCCATTTTTTTCATATTTACATTTTCATATATAGCAAACTTACTGTTCTATGTTAATGCAAAGAATTGCCTTTCAAAACCATTTTTATTAGGGTCTATGTTCACTTTCTCAGTAAACAACAGTTATTTTCCATTGTAAGAGGAGAACCATGTTAGTCTATGGTAGCCAAAATTCAGGAATCTGGTAGCATCCTTGTTGACCAACAAATTTAATAAAAAGGCATAAACTCTCATAAGTTGCAGCTTACTTTGTCAGATATATATGCACAAAAGCTTGTCTTTTAATAAAATTTATTAGTCAGAAAAGATGCTACCCCATTCTGATTTTCCATGTCATTTCCAAGGCTATAGGCTAGAATGAGTTGTACAAAAATAAAAGCAGGAGATATCTATTGATCAGTCTGTTGATTTATCTGTGTCTGCTTGTCCGTCTGTCTCAGAGGCCAAAGACAACACTTCCATATTGCTTCTGTGAAACTACGCGCCATGACTATGAAGTCATCAGGAGTCGAGTTCAACTCAGGAGGCTACTTTAGCCTTTACATTACATTATAAAGTCTTCTTGAGGCTGATTTTTGGAATCCGCATTTATTAATATTATCAGTATTATTTAATACAGCAATATTTTCAAAATTTAATATATTTAAATAAATAAATAAAAATATTGAAAATGTCATGGCTATGTGGACTGTTAGCAATGGTCTGTTAACAAGATTTAACATAATTTTGCAGTATTCATGTAATGTGTTGTGGTTGAAAGTTATGTTTACATACAGAAAGGTTAAGCTCAGATCTATGTTCTCTCCAAAGTTGTGGGCGATTACTTCTCAGTCTTATCAACGCTGTAGAATTATAGTAAAGACAAAATGGGATAGAACCATTTACAGTGTCTTGAGCTTACTAAAAGAAGGGTAGTATATTAATGCAATTAAAATTTTAAAAATTCTATACTGAAATAACTTACATGGGATTTTCAGAGAGATCTACTAGTAAGCAGAGAGGACTGACTTGTGTTCTTCTTACTCTTTTTTCATAGTCTTGGAAGCTTTTACATCCTTTTAAATTTGACCTAAATGATACATAGTCTTCATTATATTCTAGATGGATAAAACCACATGGTGGCAGTCTTGAGAGAAGAATTCATTTGCTCTGGGCTCTAGCCCTCCCCTCTTATCTTTTCATACTCTTTTTTATCATTAGTATTTAAATGTAGTACATCTTCTAGAACAGAACTTAGTGTTTGCCCCAAACAAACAAATGTAATAAATAGTACATTAATGCAAAATATTTCTCATGTATTGTTTCTTAGAACTGTATTGGATGTAATTAGTTACATACTCAATTTTTTAAAGTATTAGGTGATTTTTTTAAAAAAGCATTAGGTATCCTTTAGTATTAGTCAAAAACCCCTCTTCAGTGTTGTCTTTAATTAGTAGAAGATAGCCCCAAATCATCTGAGTAGTACAGCTAAATCCATAGAGCAGAAATAGATATACTACTATTCCTTAAATGTTTTGGATATGATTTTGATGACACCTGACATTGGTTATGCTGTCTGGGAATTGTAGTCCAGTGTGTCTATGCTATATTGTGTGCTACCAAGTATGCTATCTGTTGTCTTTTAAAAAGATATGGCACTTCAGGATGCTTTAGTACAATTAATTTTGGCTTGAATTTGTATAATTGTTTCTTGTAACTATGGCAGATTTTTGTTATAAGGTTAATGTTCCTTCTTAAGAGTCCCAAATATAGCTAAACTCTTAAAGTGATTTTAATTAATATTTACTTTTCAATTTCAGGAAGGACAGGTCCACCATCATCTACAGCTGTGGCTGGTACCTGTCAACCTGGCATCACCAAGACAACATCTGTTCTTCAAGATGGTGTCATTGTCACAACTGCAGCTGGAACTCCACTACATAGCCAACTCCCTCTTGGGAATGACTTTCCTTTTGTTGGTCATGAGCACACCCTGCATTTTCCACAGAACAGCGCTTCAAACAACAGTCTTCCGCACTCTTTGAATCCTAACCTCTTTAGTTCGCTACCTATCTCTTTGCCAGTGAATCAGCAACACCTCCTAAACCAGAATCTATTAAATATACTTCAGCCTTCAACAGGAGAAGGCAAGTCTGAGGTCAACCTCAATCCTTTAGGTTTTCTCAACCCAAATGTAAATGCTGCTTTAGCTTTGCTCTCCAGTGAAGTGGATGGGCAGGTGCTGCAACCTGTTCATTTTCAGCTGCTAGCAGCTCTTCTTCAGAACCAAGCCCAAACATCTGCCATGTTCCCTTTAGCATCTTTCAATCTATCCATCTCAGATTTGTTACAGCAACAGCAAAACAATTCTGTGCCCTCAGTAACACAGATGACAGCCCCACTACCAGATCAATTGCTTAGCAGTCAGTCAGATACCAACAGAGCTGAGACCCTGTTAACCAACCCCCTGGGAAACTCTTTCCCAAGCTTTTCAAGCACAGGCACTGCTTCAAATCCCCTGCTCCTCCCAGCTGTCACTGGGGCCTCAGGATTCATGACCTTGAATCCCCAGCTGTTGGGAGGTGTTCTGAACTCTACATCGGGCAGCACTGCTAATCATCCAGAGGTTTCCATAGCAATCTCTTCCCAGGCTACCACTGGCACAGCCACTACATCATCAGCAGTGGCAGCACTGTCTGTCTCAACCCTTGGTGGGACAGCAGTGGTGTCAATGGCAGAAACATTGCTGAGCATATCTAATAATGCTGGGAATACATCTGGTCCAGCTAAACTCAACAATAACTCTGTGGTGCCACAGCTACTTAACCCTCTACTGGGGACAGGTCTACTTGGTAAGTTAAATATTTTCATAGATTTTAAAAAGGAAAAATGGTGGTGGGGGGAACTTCTATTTTCTACTTTTTTAAGGAAAACAAATTCCATTTCATTGCACTTCTTTTTCCTAAAAGGTTTATGCTGTGTTAATCTGTTTGACCATTCCAGTGAAAGACCACAAATAAAATTCAGAGCAAATGTTAAATAGTATTTTAAAACCTTTTGTTTAGAAAGTTTGATGTTATCTAAATTCAGTCAGCCAATTGGAATGGATTTTATATTTTTCAAAACTCATAATGCACAGTTGCTTCTTTGGGATGCAGCATTTTATTTAAAATATCCAAGGCATCACAGGGTTAGTATGAGTAGCTGTGCAATGGATGAAAAAATTCCATGTCCATAGAATTTAAAATATCCCAGTGTAGCTAATCCCTAAATTCCATTGCAGAAATATATAAAGCAGACCAGATTCAAGGTAATAGGCTACCTTTGATTTTACATTCATGCTGTCATGCTTTTTGGTTTTTCATTTTTATATAGCTTAGAAACTACCAGTTTCTAAATAAGCTGTTTTCCAATTCACATATTTAAAGCTGCAGTCCTGTATATATTCAGTAGGATATAACATTTAAGGATTATATTATAACTCTGGGAAAGTATTGTACTCATCCAACAAATTCAGGAGCATGATTTGTGTATGAGGATTTTCACATTTGTTGGAAAACCATTCATTGGAATACAACGATATAATGGACAATTTAATTGTATGAACTGGGCTAAGAATCTGCCAAATTCTTGAATTTCCTTTAGGAATATTCCTGAATATTTTGTGTCTGTGCATGTTGAGCTGATGGATTTCATAAATAAACCAAAGGAAAAAAGTTAGATAAAAACAGCATTTCTGTAAACACAGGTCCAACATATTAATAACTCATAATAAAAAAAATGAATTAGTGTCAGCATATATAAATACCAGAGTATTTATTTTAACTATAATCTGCATAGTCTTGCATTCCACAATGACCAGTAATAAAGGGTTATGCTAGAACTTCCAAGTCCTGCCCCCCCCACCTTCATATCCCTTGAAAAGCCAGTCCTATTTTGTAAAAACTTTTGATCCAGCTCTTAAGATTCTGCTTAAATATGCATGTGTGTACATGTTTGTTCAATCTATATTTACTTACTTACTTACTTACTTATTTTCTGGCTTTTGTAGGTTATTTTTCATGATTTTAGTGAATTCAAAGAAGTTTTAAAATAGATATACAGATATAATAGGTATATATATACAGATATAGATGTACAGATATGCTACAGATATACAGATACGATATAAAAAATTGTTACAAAGAGAGGGCTACAAGTTTGTATTAATAAATTGTGAAATATGTTTTTTTAAAAATATTGTGAAAGTTATTAGTAATTAAAGGAACAGATTTCTTGATGAAATTGTGAATAAGTTTCATAAAAATTAGATAGCATTAGACATACTATACCCTGGTCGAGCTCACAGAAAATGGTAAGGCAGAATGTTTAGCCATAGTTTATTCAACAAGCTGTAGTGCCTACTTTGCACAAAACATTAAACTACACTGGATGTGTTCAAACATCACACTAAGCCAAAAATACAAGTAAAACACATTATGCTTAGCAAGCCTATATCTTACTATATATAAATTCATGGGAAGGAGAATCCAGAGTTAGAATTTATTGTAGGCAGACTTCAGGTGGTTGTAATAGCAAAGAAAAAGAAAGAAAAAAAGTTGTTCTGTAACCACCAAAGTTCAGTAAAAAGCTGCAGGGAAAAATATTTCATTCTGTATCTTTGCTACTAAATGGTAAAACATGGCTTGGACAAAATATATGCTTATCCTAGGGAGAATTGCTGAATTAAATATTCATGTCTTTGGAATTGCAGGTGATGTGTCCTCGATAAACACTACTCTTAATAACCATCAGCTAACTCATCTACAGTCATTGTTCAGCAACAATCAAATGTTTCCATCCAATCAGCAACAGCAGCTTCTCCAAGGTTATCAGAATCTCCAAGGTTTCCAAGGACAGCCTCCCATTCCTGGGCCTCCTAACAACCCAAATCCTATGGCTTGTCTGTTCCAGAATTTTCAGGTAGAAGTTGGTTTGTGTCTCAGGGATCCATGAAAAAATAATACAAATGACTATTATGTTTTAATATTTACTGGGATTTTATCATAAAGCAACTCTTTGGATTCCATTTTATCATGCCAGTACTATGCATCCACGGGTGGTTCTAAAAACGTTCCACTGTGAACATGTCTGTTTCAGGCATTAAAATGAAAGCAATGGCATTATTTTCCAAAAGGGAGACAGAGAAATAAAATTGAATAAATGTTGGAACCTGGTAGTATATTCCTTATATTTAAGTGCTGAAGTTGTAAATGCATGTTTACAAAAACCTTGCTCACTCAGACAATGCTAACTTCCTTTGAGTGGAAATAGGCTATCAATTGTACTGCACCATATAAAGGTTTTACATATACTTTGTATTATTTTATTAAAGTATTGCTGATTCAAAACCTAGGAGAGAATTAATGTAGACAACAACAAGAAAAGCTTTGTTCAGAACAATAAATAGAATACATTGTTTTACTAGTTTGCAAAAATAATTGCCTTCAGTCTATTTTTCTTCCCAGCATTTTATTCTATGCTGCTCTCTCAATATATTTATTTCATTAGATATGAATTATGCATATATTTAAACTAGTCATTGTTTAATTATTAACCATTTATTTCTGAGCTAAATTCAGTGTACTGGGTTTAAGCTTTAAACCCTAACTATTTGGAATCATATTTTGGAAGGAACTCCTAAACTTCTTTGAGGATAGTGGAAACCTGTGACTAGCCTCAAAAGGCATGCTCCCAACCTGCAGTTACACAATTTGTATTAGCAGGTAATACAAGATCTTTTCGACCTGGGCCCTGCATTTTTTTAACTCCCATTTTTGATAACTAAAAGGCAATTTATAAATAATGTCAATGAATACATAAATAGATGTTTGACAGCAGAAGAGAGAAAGCTGCCATCTTGTTCTGTTCTTTCTTTATCTGTCTCTCTCTCTACACAAACACACACACACACACACACATGCATACTCAGAAGTTCAGCTGACAAGCAGATGATAAAATATTCAAAACAAAGCTTTGGGTTAAGAAGAAGCAATTCTGAAATCTTTGCTTGAGGCCACAGATTTTTATACCACTGAAGAAAAATGTAGACCACAGTTGGGAGAAGGAAGTTGGTATTAATAATAATAGTACCTTCATCATTGTCATCTTCAGAAATAAATGTAAAAAGATGAGTTCACAACTGTAAATTGTAATAAAAAATGGGGACAAATGGAAGCACAAGCTATGAACGTGCTTGTTAAGGAACAGGAGGGAAATACAAAGCATCTCTTCCTGGGATCACATGGAAGCTGCAGAGGTGTAGGAATCTTTTCTGTGATCCTAGG